CTGAAAACAGGATAGTCAACATTAATCCCACGGCTTGGTCTTAAATGCTAATACGTTCAGATTTTTTTGGGACGGGTAACTGTGGACATGTTAACTCAACAACAAATCAGTTTTTGTGTCAACCATTTGTCTATGAGCCATGCTACTAAGGTCGCACAACTCCACATATGATTCTTTGTTGATGCTTGTGTCCGCCCCTTGAATCGCGACTATGTTTAATATGATGCACACATTACATAGCATGATAGGTGCTTCCAGACTGCTTTTCTGTAATAATTACGGCAATTACTTGGATTGTCTCCTCTTAATAGTCTTTATTTTCTCAGGAACCTGTTCATTCTCTGCATCAGCTACCCCACTTTTTTCCTAGATCTGTTCAGTTAGATGTGACAAACAGTTACCTCAGAGACAGATAGCCACGATGACTGTTCACATCTATCCAAATCGAAACGGCTTGTGTTGTATGCTACAGCTCGGCTGAGTTGCTCTGGAAATGGACCTGTAGGTCCTACTACCACATGGTTTACTAAAATCCAATTACCCATGTCATTAATGATGTCTCAAGTGGCTACTGTTCAAACTACGGATTTCCTTAACCACCTCTATTCTAAATTTGGTTCTGCATTGGTCGGAAAACTACCGACAGTGTGGTACCTATCATAATTCTGCGGATTCTACAGAGGCCCCAATGTGTTATTCGGCAGAAGGTCCCTACAACAGAATTCAAGTTTTATTTAAAAGTGTACCTCAGATGAATCAGGTTTCGCATCCGTCGTTCCCATCAAGTCTGACAAAAGAGAATTCTAGTATGGAAAAAGGATATACTTGTGCCTAACAAGGTTAATTCTGACCGGTAGCTAAATCGCTACTCCTAAACTCTAAACTTCCTGCAGCTCAAAATGAATAGTTTTCTTTTCTGGATCCTCACTCTTTCCGATATGATTTAATTTTGCTTCTAACACTNCGATATGATTAAATTTGCTTCTAACACTTCTGTTTTCTTGAATAGAGCAGAAGTATTTGGGGTTGAAAAGCAAGGCTATTCCTGAATTGCCTTTGCGCAGTTGCACAACTCATTTGCAAGCGTGTGCTACCTTCCGCGTACTTTCGCAGTGCAAGTAAATGAGCAGTGGTGTGACACCAAATAATGAGTTGAACCGCACTAGATTATGTCTATCGCAGTCAATGTTGAATGGAACACCCTTGTCTGGACATCTTTTGATAGGCTGCGCTGAATGTAGATACATATGTAGCAGTGCCTACCACGAAAAGCAGAATTTCATTTCAACTCACTAAGGAGACTGGAAGCTAGGATGATAATAAAAGCACAATCAATAACATCACAGCTCAACCGGTTTATGATCGTCCAGCTATAGCACCCTTTCGGTGCCTAGCCGCCATGCCACAAGGAGGCAGGAGGGCTGGGATACTGCCAGGTCGCCCAAGCCTAGACAGGGGAATTCGAGTGGCAGAGGTTGGGTTCGAACCACGGACCTTCCGGTCAGTAAATTCGCGCTCTAACCACTTGGTCCATCTCGCCCCCACTGGTTTATGAGAGACATTAACTGAAGATGCACATAAGTACACGACTGGCTACTTGCGTTTGCAGGTACACGATTGCCTACGGGTTTGCTAACTAATAAGGATAATGTATTCCATAATAATGATGGTGACTGGGTTCCAATAATAAGCGCACTTGGAGTTAATCCAAGGAAAGCTGATGCGCAGACAAAGCTTGGTCAAATGCCCTTGTGAACCAGCCCATCACTCTCTACTGGCTTCAGGCTATGCACCTTTGCTGGCCCAGAGTCTGCTGCGGCAAGATGCGCAGGGGTTGGCATCGGCCGAGTGGAAGTATCCTTCTTCGACTGGATACCTGTTGATAGTCGCCTCTGTGCAGTTCGTCTGGCAACTTCTGTGACGCGGTCCCAAAGCGGAAGAGTCGGCGGTAGGGCCAGTTTTCAAAAAATGAGCTCGTAGTGAGTGTGCTAACCACAAGGTAATCAGCTTGACCCCGATTGTAACGAGACTTTTGGCGTCAGTGGTGCTTCGTCGCCTTAAGGTGCCTCGTGAGACAGTGACTCGAGAGCAGCAAGCGGAATTCCGGCATGGTAGGCGTTGCTAGGACAACGCCATACGTACAAGCGACCTACGATTCTAGTGTTCCTAAATTTCAAAGATGCATTCGACTCGGTTGACAGGTCTTGATACGTGTTCCCACCGAGGAATGCCCCTGAAGTTCGTTAACATAATAAGCTCTTTGTATTCCCAGAATGCTGGACATGTGAGAGTATACGGCGAGCTCTCCAAAAGCTTCCGTATACAAAGTGGTGTCTGTCAGAAATGCTTATTCTCCCCATTCCTTTTTAACTTTGTGATCGATGGAATCATGGGACGGACGTTGGAAGGTCTCCAGAAACCCCGGTGTTCAAATAACCAGTGATGAAAACCTTGTCGACCTGGAATATGCAGACGACATCGTTCTCATGTTCGAAGGGGAGAAGGCGCAAGTATTCTTGGATGAACTGACCAAATTCATCCCGTCCTTTGATATGAACCTTGCACCCACAAAGTATAAGATCATACTCCTGGATATGCAGTCACCGAACATACCACTTACAATCCAGGGGAAAGCACTCGAAGTTGTGGAGTTTTACGTATCATGGGAGTTTTATTAGTTCTGATTGTAGCGTAAGAGATGAGATCAATGCAAGAATCTGCAAGGTTCGGGTCGCGTTTGCTAATTTGAGACATCTATGGGGCCAAAGTGGTGTATCCCTGAATGTCAAGGGACGTATGTATCAAGCTACAGTACAGGCTGTTTTGTTGTATGGCTGTGAGACTTGGTCTATTCGAGCAGCGGAAATGAGACGTCTTCAGGTGTTCGGCAATCGTTTGTCTTAGAACCATAGCTCGTGTGGATTGGTGTCGGCGTACCCCTAGAGAGGCAGTTAGGAAGCTAGTTTTCGGTTGTGCAACGGCACTTCCATTGAAGAATGTGTCCATCACCAGAAGCTGCGTGAGTTGGGACACGTGTTACATATGCCAAATCATCGTTTGCCAAAGAGTGCTGTTTTCCATGCCCAATTTAGGCGGAAGCAGAAAGGCGGCAAACGCCTGACCTGGCAGAGGAGCATGAAGGACATCACGAAAATTCAGGATGTCGTCGGTGCAACTCGCATTCCAGGATGGGGACCGCGCGATCTCCACTGTGCCTAGTTGGAGACGCTGCAAGATATGGATGCCAACTGATATCAGTGGCGATCTTGTCGACAGTTTCTATTCAGATTGCCTGAATGAGTGGTTGGAGGTGTATGCACCCCGGAATGATTATAGTGAGCTAGCACCAAGTCCCTTCCCCGTCCAGCTTTATTCTTTTCGTCACAATAGGGTTTTCAAACAAATCATGGTTATACGTTGAACAGTGATGTCAAGCTGTCGATGACGATGATGATAATTCGAAGTGGCGGATGTGTGGAAAAAGACAATATCAATTGGAAGGAGAGAATGAAGGATATTATAAAAAGTTTCGTCATCGTTTGTGCTACGCTGACTCCAAAATGGGGTCCACGGGACCCCCTGTGCCTGGCTGGAGACAACGAAACAAACTGCCGCTAGCCGATGTCGGTGGTGTTCAAGCTGTCAGTCTGCACTCACATTTTCTGAGTGAATGTTGGGGATACGAGCACCTTAATTGTTTATGGTAGGCTAGCACTAGCCCAAACCCATTCCATTTTTTATATCCAGTATGGTGCCTTACTCAAATAAATTCGAATTTCTGCGGCACCGAAGTACTAGTGTTCTTATTTCCATTTTGAAATCAATGATAATCACGATCTAGAAAGCCTGGAAATCGGGTTGATGCTTAAGCATTAGCTGACCCGTTCTTCGACAAACTTCAACCCATCCAGCTCACAGACGAAAGCGTGGTTCCTGATGCATCAGACGATGACGACAGCATCCAGTTAGATGAGGAAACGGCATCAGTGTCCGATGGGTGTGCACCGGTTTGCACATGTCTATCCTTCAGTATATGAGAGAGCTGTTGAGTGATGCGTGGACATATGATCAGAGTTGTGTACTTGCCTTCACAAGGCGGATCTGTCTGGCCGCATGTACACAATACATCGTTTCCTTATATACATGTTACGTACGAGTTACTTACAATACTGTTAAATAAAGTGACTGTCAAAATACCATCTTCGGGCAGGGCATGCTTCAGAACTTGTCCTCTGCAACCCAACGAAGACCACTGTGCGTTACGGAGCTTTAGAAACCCTAGTAGTAGTATAACCTCTGACAAAGTACATCTGATGAGGTCAGTGCATGAATATCGAAGACACGAATAAAGTTTGCCAATCTTCGTCACTGGTCGCACCGAAAAGGCATATCACTGGGTCGCAAGAATCGCGTTGTTACGCGGTTGCGAAACACAGTCCTCAAGTAGACGATCTGATACGTCTTCAGGTTTCCAACTGCCGGTATCTCAGGAGCGTTGACAAGTTCCAGAAAAATAGAAAATGACAATAACGTCGCTGTCTCTACTGATGAAGCAGAAAACCAACTACACTCAGGTGTTACACTGCAATCTCAGCACGGCAGTCAACGTGTAATGCCAATGAGTTGTAGAAACCACGCAACTCGAGTCCGGCGTGTCCTTCTGTCGTGAACTAACAAGTGGTTACATCAATGAAGAGTGTTCAGAATAAAAGCCAGCCAGTATACTGGTTTAAACGCGATGATCGGTGAATCCCGCTATGGTACAAAGCTTTTACTCACTTACACAGATACAAGTGACTAGCTATGTAACAGCAACAGTACGCTCTTCGTACAAAAGCGCTAGTATTTCATGGCTATTAAGCGGTCAATCAATGATGGAGGGATATCACCGAAGAATGTGGCCCACCTACTAGTGATCCAAAAGAAACTGAACAACATAAGTGGTTATGCACTCCGTGCCACTGTAATGTTGTGATAGTAAGTAATGCGACACAACTAAAGACGTTTTACTTATCCATTGTGCGGTAGCTCTATCCAACACATGGTCTCCTGAGTGACTGTGTACCTTACCTCAATAAGGCTGAAGTACGCACAAACATGTAAAGCATGATACTGGGTTGAAGGAATGTTCATTGTTTGTCTTGGAAAAAGCTGGATACAAATTGCTAAAACCATCGGAAAGACAAGGAAACAAGTGGTTACATGAGCGAACAAAGTATCACAGGAATGAATAAGCTCGTATTGTGCACAGACGAAGATCATATGAGGCCTTTACTTCAGCAGTGGTTCCTCTGAATTGGTGCGTTTCCATCGGTGGTTAGCGTGCAAAATCAGCGCTCAAAAGATGCTAAAACCTCCAGTACATTATCCAAAGATGGGCGTGCCTGAGGATCCACAGAAAGCATTGATTTGATCAGGTGCAACATACCAGGAGGAGTGCTACGGAAGATGTAAAAGACAAGAAACTGTATCAACCAATGCCAGAAGTCGACATTAGTGCTTAGTAATTATACAGGTAATTAGCCACATTTATCACAGCTGCTACAAAGTTATATTACGCCTTATCCGTTCCTTTTAAAAAAAACCTGGGGGCTTGGAGTCAGCTGAACTTCCGAAGGTCTCCACACAGTTAAGGAAAAAGCTGTATTTTTAAGACCCAAGAATTCCATAATGGCAACGTGGTTATTATGAACACCACGACCTGTTGTGGAGGATATGCATCCCAATCACTGATCAGCAGTCGGTCAGTCGTCTGGAAGCATGCACTTAGGGACAAAATTACACGATGCAAACCTATACTGGCGTAACGGTGGATAATACTGATGAGGTATGCGAGTAGTATGTTTTCTCGTAAATCCGCTTCGCGTCTCTTGAAAAGTGAGATATATTACGGAATTTGTGAAATCGCTTTGTAGCATTCGTTTACATTTGAGTGATAGTCAATGAGTAGCTAGGAAAGTTCAGGAAAACGGATATTCAGTTTTTATGAACAAGATGCATATGAGAGTTTTGTTTCACTGTCCAATAGTCTGTAAGTGCTCAATTGGTGTTTTCTAATAAACAACTCCGCGGCGAAGGCCTTCTTCCTTTCACTGGTAGAAAACATCGGTGGAACCATGCAAGATAAAGACGAGACCTCCATTTGCGGGGACCGAATAAGCAGGGAACAAGTACATGGTTCAAAGATCAATCAAACCTATCAATTTATCACATATACACAGAGTGCCATAAGCACATTGGTTCCAGCTGCTACAGTTTCGTTCACCGAAAAACGGGAAAGTGGAACATACAACCATGCCTTGGAGGCAAAGGGATGCTCAGTTTGTTCAGAAATTGGGTAGCTACGCATTGAAGGCGATAGATTTGATGCACGAGCGCCACTGAGTACACGATTGGGTCAGTTTCGCCGATGTCATTAACCACTTGTGATTTGAGTCTCAGGGTCCCCATCCAGGGAGGCGGCAGTTGCCCACCTGACTAAGTTTACTGGTTAGTGTTTAGCACTTCGTTCCAGGTCATATAGGGTCCACCTCTCGGTTGCATCCACTCACCACAGGGCTGGGAGAAAAGAGCTCCATGAGGCAGACGGTCTTCTGGCATGCGGAGTACATGTCCCAACCAGCGCAACCTGCGAAGCGTGAGTAATTCATGTATCGCGGGAGAGTTTTCCCTTCCTAGACCATCTGGCATACCTCAGCATTACTAGTCCGAAGTTCCTACCATACCTGACCAATGCTTCGGGGACACCGGTGATCATACACTGACATCTTCCGCATGTCCTCTGCGCGCAGGGGCCATGTCTCCGATCCACAAAGCAGTATGGATCGCACCACCGCAGTGCAAACTCTTCCCTTGACAGACAAGCTCGCGTCACGTCGGCGCTAGGGGGGACAGAGGTTGGCAAAAACTGCCCTGGTTTTTCTGATTCCAGAAATAATCTCATCTCCAGACAGTCCACCGGAACATACAACAGCCCAGGTAAACAAATTTATCTACCACGTCGATCGGCTCACCTGGAAGTATGAGGTGTGGGTTTGATCCCACCAAGTCTCGTACCAGCATTTTACACTTTGCAAGTGTGAAGAGCATGCCAAACCGTGAGGCTGAGTTATTTAGGTTATATTAAATCGTTTGTATTCGGGGAATGTCTGAACCAATGATAAAACAAGCAAACTGAGATACAAACGTACTCTGATGTCTCTGTCGGGAAGTGAATCTTTGCTGACCACACAGCTAGAGCGACGCTGTCACCCTTTGCATGAACACGATCCATAGGCGATTCGAGAAACAGCAGAGCATACAACAGGCAACCGAGCGACTGCAACTACGAATGAGTGTAGGAAGCTTCATAATACCCATAAATCCGCTTTCTCCGTAATATTCTCGCCAACTTTGGGTTGAAACAACTCTGGAGCTCGGTAAGCCATTGAACAATGTTCCGCAGCAAATTCCTGTTATAAAATGGTGAAAGGAAGATGAGCTACCTTCCAAATTTCTACATCGCGGTAGGTTGGCAGCTCAATCACAGCCGGTGTACATGAACCGAAATCCATTCGTACCAGCTACACTTTGCAAGTGTGAAGAGCATGCCAAACCGTGAGGCTGAGTTATTTAGGTTATATTAAATCGTTTGTATTCGGGGAATGTCTGAACCAATGATAAAACAAGCAAACTGAGATACAAACGTACTCTGATGTCTCTGTCGGGAAGTGAATCTTTGCTGACCACACAGCTAGAGCGACGCTGTCACCCTTTGCATGAACACGATCCATAGGCGATTCGAGAAACAGCAGAGCATACAACAGGCAACCGAGCGACTGCAACTACGAATGAGTGTAGGAAGCTTCATAATACCCATAAATCCGCTTTCTCCGTAATATTCTCGCCAACTTTGGGTTGAAACAACTCTGGAGCTCGGTAAGCCATTGAACAATGTTCCGCAGCAAATTCCTGTTATAAAATGGTGAAAGGAAGATGAGCTACCTTCCAAATTTCTACATCGCGGTAGGTTGGCAGCTCAATCACAGCCGGTGTACATGAACCGAAATCCATTAGCATGGGGCACCAGTCGTCCTGCAACAACACATTTCCGGGTTTAATGTCTCTGAATAAGATATGAAATTGTGTTAAAGGCAAACGACTACCTATGTGACATAGGAACGTCCAAAGACAATAGAACCAGCAGAGCGTTACACAATCCAACGCAAACTTTTGCAGCCAAGTGACTCGATAAGCCGCCAACACCACGCTTTTTTCTGATATCCAACTCACGTAGGAGAGAACCACGCTGTAATATGTATCACGACTATTTGTGATTGCACGAACCTTACAGTAGTCAAGTACCATAAATACTTCCGAAATTGCGCCTTGAGGATGATTGCGTAGCGGATACGTTCCTGTACCCACACAAGGCAGGATATTCGGGTGAGAGGGAAGGGACAAATGCAGACGTGCCTCGCTCAGAGCCTTTGATTCATCCGATTTGGAATGGCATCTTATCCGTTTCAGAACGAGCAAATTACGCCTGTCACTTGCTGGTGATATAAGTTCGATTGTACTGAAACCACTTAATGGCGCACAGAGAATTTGATCCAACGTGGAAATGAAATTCCTACCCTTGGTCCAAAATATCACGTACGTAGAAACTAATCACAATGCCCTGCTGGTTCTTCACATTTATCTTTTCTGAACAACCACACAAGCATCCAAACATCTTTGCGATTTGAAGGCAGCGGTTTGGTGTACGGAGGGTTGATTACGTCATGTGTGTAAGTGTCCTGAAATAGAAAACGTGTACATAAGCTCAAATTTCATCCTTCCAACAAACAACATAAGTGATGATATGGCCATAGAAATTCCCAGGCTAAATATGATTAGACAGGAGAGCAAACTGTAGGAAGAGGCTCGACAAGCTTACGTCAACCGCCTCTAGTGGAAAAAAGCATGGGTGATTTCTACATATAACACGTTCCATATAATGGGCACGACTAATGGAGTGCGTAGGCAAAGCAGGTGAAGATATCACAACCAGCCATTCTACCGTGTGTAAAGTTATACGAGCCCTTACAAGACATGGTAGGGTTGAAACCATTAGCATGATCAATGATAGCAGCATCGGTATAGTAAACCGATGCTTCACTGCCAGGAAACAATTTATGAAAAGAAAGCCCTATAATGAGAAGAAAAATAGCCCAGCGTTAGTGTCACGCAAACAACGCAGGCGTCTCCATTTCCAACATTCAGCCAGACTGATAGTATGAACCCTGCTGAGGCCGGCTAGCCATCATGATAAGCAAAAAAACATCGTTTGGTTATGACACCCTCCCGGTGCCAAGCTGCCATGTCATCCGAAGGTATCACGATGGCTGAGATATTGCCAGGTTTTCCAAGCTCAGATAGGAGCAGTGGAGATGCAGAAGCCGGGTTCGAACCGCAGACCTTTCGGTTATTAGGTTCGAGTCTTAACCACCGAGACACCTCCAGACGTCATATATTCCAGTGTGTCAAATCAAGCACAAGGATGGGCATACAGGCCCAAACCCGGAATGCCGAATGAACCGACGACATTGTACAACCCTCGCTCTCTTTTGCAAAGGCACATTATACCTACCTCTAGATTTCAGCCACTCCGAATTCGGCATGTCGTCACCTTGTCAGGGTGTTTGGACCTCAGTGCTGCAATGAATTTGTGGACTGCATTGGCTAGAACTCAGCTTCTCAAGGTTTAGCCATGGCATGGAGGCCCGAGTCCTCGTGGTACGAGTAATTGTGTTACGAGACGCCCCAGAGGGGAAGTTGCACTGTATGGAGACAATAAACTGCTTGATTCAGGCGACCAGCATGTCCACATATATGGAAGTAGCGATGCTCCCTTTTCCGAGAAAGGACGGATTAGAATAATTCGGTCCTAAAACAGCACACTCCGATCATCCAGCGGTTTGGTCATAACCACCGGCACATCATTCAATACGGTCAACACACTTTGAAATTAAACAGTCTGGCTCTACTGAGAATGTATATCAGCAGTCGGACAATTACACCCAACTCCCTCGGGCCAGGCCTGTTCCCTGCAGCCATGCAGGCCATTTGATCTGGCAGGGGTCCCCCAATAAAAATATGACTGTTGCGTTGCTCTTCAGACTTTTGAGTCAGGGGCTAAAGCTAGGGTCCATCGCCTTCACTTCTTCATACCTTCCTCTGTAGTTCGGGCTTTTGAGTCAAAAGCTCAATTTGGGATACCTCAACCAAATCCCCATCTTCGGCTTTTGCAGCCGGGAAATATCATTCACTTTTGCAGCTCTTCGCTCAACAGCCTTCTCCCACTGCCCCACCCTACCCATCGAACAATGCACTGCGATGAACAAAATCTGCCAGCCACCCCCATGTATTTATCACTCCGTCTAAAGTATCATTCAAAAATTTGAAAAATCCCTTCCTAACCTTCAAATATCCTATTTTTGTTGCATCTCCCAATGTCCTTAGTCTCTGTCAAATCGGAAAAAAAGCATCTTTTGTTAAGACCTTCCTTTCTATCGATATATGTTGTCTCCGGAACACCCACACAAGACCCCAATTCGGTTGTACACCTCAAACCGCTTCGGACGAGCTCAGGTGTTCCAAATTTAACTCTTCGGGTATCTGGTAATTCTGAAGCAATGGCTAGAGGTGTGGGATTTGCGCTCAGCTTCAAGGCTGAGAGCACTGTACTTGACTGAATCCAAGTCTACCGTAGTCTTTGCCCTGTATGGTTGTCTGGTTTAATAAAGATCAATGCAGATCGAGGCGGCAAATGGTGCCTCTTTGACATATCAGCATGCGTTCCGACAGAGTGCAGCTCAGAGTATGGAAAGAAACGGGTTTCATCGACACCTGTTGCGACTGCTTCGGTAAGCAAGAACGGATATGGTAATCATTGTGAGCGATATAAGCATACAGACTGTACGACTAAGCCGGGAAGAGCACGGTTAGGTGGTAGATTAGGGGGCCGATGCTCAGGATACGCATAATGCGGAGCAACTGCTTCAGTTGCCTACTGACCGTCAGTATCTGTCCACTACGAACTTCCCAAACAAACGGCCACATCTAACCATTTGGCGGCCAATACCACAGGACAGCCATGGACTTAATTGGGAGTCGGTTACTGATGGAGAGCTTCAATTGAAGACTGCTGTTTCTTCCGAGGTACGCGACTGGACTCCGATCATGCCATTGTACAGGCCTAGTTATCACCTTGCTTCCGTCAGCATCACGCATAGCAAAACAGAGCGGTTCCATTA